AGGCATGGTGGTGTGCACCTGTAATCCCAGTTACTTGGGAGGCTGAGGCATGAGAGTCACTTGAACCTGGTGGTGGAGGTTGCAGTGAGCTGAGATCATACCACTACACTCCAGCCTGGACGATAGAGCAAGACTCTGTCTAAAAAACAACCCAAAAAACAAACAAAAACCAAAACAAAAGCAGAGCTTAAAAAGCAGGACTTGCAGAACATTAGGACTAGGAGATAGCTGTGGCCAGGGTTCTGTGTAATGCAAAGATTGTGTCTGTAGGACCTCTGCAGGCATGGGTTTTACTGCTAGCTGTGTCTTTACTAGTTGTATCACCTTGGGCAACTTATGTAACCCCCCACGCCTCAGTTTCTTCATTTGTAAAATGGGAATAACAATTTCAGCCATTCAGTACTGTTGCCTAGATGAGTGATAATTTGTGTCAAATACCTGGCACATACTAGGGACTTAATGAATCTTAAGTACAGTAATGTCACTTAACAATGGAGATATGTTCTGAGAAATGTGTCATTAGGTGATTCCATCATTGAGCAAACATCATAGAGTGTACCTACACGAACCTAGGTGCCTACTACCCACCTAGGATGCAAATCTGTATAGCATATTACTGTACTGAATACTGTAGCAACTGTAACATAATGTGAAATATTTATGTATCTAAACATGTAAACATAGAAATGGTACAGTAAAAATATGTAGGACCACTGTTGTCTACGTGGCCTATCACTGATTAAAACATTACGTGGTGCATAATTGTAATTTAAAAAAATCATTCAGATCTTATGTATGCATTTGATGACTCCACTCTAAGGAAAGCCTAGATGCACTTAAATATACTTCTGTTTATACTGCTTTCATTAGAAATGAAATGCCATGTCAACTATGATGCTTTCAGTTGCAAGTAGCAAAACTGCCAACACAAACTAGTTTAAAAAGTAAAGTGAATCTATTGGTTCATGTAACTGGAAAGTCTCATGAAAATGTCAGCTTCAGGAGAAGCTTGACCCAGCAGTTTCATGATATATGGAAATACCTGGGTTTTTTGTTTCTGCTCTGCTACTGTGGTATCAGCTTTATTCCAAGTCTAGCTTCCTTTGTTGTTGCAAGATGGTTGTCAGCAGAAGTCTGGGTCCATCTGTTAGGATTAAGTTTACTCTGTGTGCTGTAGTAGTGGCTATGACAAGATAGAAGTGTATTTCTCCTCCATATAAAAGAAATCCAGAGATAGGCAGTCCAGGGATGGTATGTGGCTCCAATATGTCATGGACCCAAACATTTAACTTGATGCTCCACGTCCTAAGGTATGGCTCCTTTTCTCAAGGTCACCTCAAGGTCCAAAATGACTGCTAGAGTTCCAGCCATTACATCTGCATTCTAGGCAGGAGGAAGGGGCAGAAGAAAGCTTTGCCTCTTCTCTTTTAAAGAGACTCATTGGAAGTACCACATAATCCTTTGCTTACAGCTTATTGGCTGGCACACAGGGTAGTCGCCAGGGAGACTAGGGAATAAAGTCTTTTGTTACCCCTCCCATCCTCAGTTCTTTTTGCACTGTGCTAAACAATTCTAGGACTTTTAACAGAACTCTTCATAAAAGTCTTGAATTTTATTTTATTGTATTTATTGATTTTTGAGATGGAGTCTTACTCTGTCACCCAGGCTGGAGTGCAATGGTGCTATCTTGGCCCATTGCAACCTCCGCCTCTAAGGTTCAAGTGACTGTCCTGCTTCAGCCTCCTGAGTAGCTGGGACTACACATGCACACTACCACGCCCAGCTAATTTTTCTGTTTTTTTCATAAAGACAGGTTTCATCATTTTGGCCATGGCTGGTCTTGAACTCCTGACCTCAGTGATCTGCCTGTCTCGGCCTCCCAAAGTGCTGGAATTACCAGTGTGAGCTACCATGCCTGGCCAAAAATCTTGGGTTTTAGATCCCTTCTTTATTTTTTTGGATCTTTTCTGAATCTTCTCCAATCTTTCCTGATTCACAAGGGGCACAGTCGTGAGCCAGCAAATCCCTAAACCTCTATATACTTTAGTTTCCTCATCTATAAAAAGATAAACATCATTGTAGCTACCCCTTTTCCTCCAGAGATTCAATGGGATGCATGTATGCTTGATGCAGTGAACATTTAATGAAGGTTAAGTTATAAATGTAATACTTCGTGATTCTCAGGTCCTGTCTCCTATTTGTGTTTTTAATCTATCATGCTTGTTTCTTTACCTGAAACCTCCAGATCTCTTCTTGCTCAACCCCAGCTTCTGCTTCTGTAATTTGTTTTTCTCCCTTTAGAAATGCTTCTTAATAAACGCCTCTAAGTCTATTTCTGACTTCATCTCGAATTTGCCGAGGTAGTTTTTTTCAGTGTCTGAAAACATGACAGTAAGATAAAATGATTCAGGAGGGCAAAGAGCAGAAAAACAGCTATAAAGAGTGGGCAGAGGGGAAGGGGAGTGTTGGCCTCTCCCTGGGAGCTCCAGGCTCCATGTGCACACACAGGCTCATCCCTGCTTCTGTCAACTTCTTGTTCCCAGGCTGTTACTTAGAAAAGGAAGAAGAATGTTTCCTATTTGTTCGTGTGAATTCACTTAAGAAACATATCATCAGTGATTAGGCCTCAGAGCTAATTTGTCTACATGCAGCTTAGAGTTAAGCTTGGGAATTTATTTTATTTGAAATTTAAAGGATGAGGTTCTCTTTGTCTTAAGGAGCTGAGAAACACAGCTCAGCTGCATCTAAGATGGTTTGTACTCACTCTCTTCCTCCCTTCTTGCTTCAGCAAGGATGGAAAGGCTGGGATGATTCAGTTTCTCATGCAAAGAGCTACTCACGGAATTCCTGCCCTTTGCATATACTGGACAAGACCAACATTTCCCAGGGCGCTACTTGCAGTTGTGTTCATAACTGGTGGGGGAGGGTTGGGGATGACGGGGGCGCAGATAATAGCTAACATCAATTGATGGTCACTAGAAGCATTTTGCATGTATAATAACAGTAACAGCCAACACATAAAACGGTGCCTACTATGTGCCAGGCATAGTTTAAATTATTTTGTATACCTCAACCAATTTTATTCTTTCATACTCTTCTGAAGTAGTAATTACCATTACCTACATTTTACAGAAAGGTTAGATGTGGGCTCAGAAAGGTTAAATCACTTGCTTCGGGTTATATTCAGCTAGTGTCAGAGCCTGGATTCAAACTGTGATCATGTAGCTCTGTGCTCTTAATTGGTACCTTCAACCATCTTCCTAGGAGGGGGTTTTAGTATTAATATTCTTATAAAAAGGAGACTGAGGCAGGGAGAGAGGAAGGCGTCCTGAATTCCAGTGTAAGCAGGAGACTCCAGAGCCTGGGTCTTCTTTGCTACCTCCTCCAGGGACATGTGGAGACATCTGCACATCCAGCACTTCACGCAGGAAGTACCCTGAGGACCACATGGGATGACATAACTCATCTGGAGTAACTAGTGGCATGGTTCAGGGTGCAGAGCTGTGCTTGAGGTGCTCCCTAAACCCCAGCAGTCCTGATATTGCTTCTGGGGCCTGGAGGGGAGAAAGGGAGGCCAGTGTATATATATATAAATGTAATATGTATTTTATATATGATACCCATAGGATACTTAATGCACATCACTTTTATTGTGATTTTGCCTAATACATTGGACCCTCAAACTATCAGACAAAAAACACTTCCAAAGTCTTCACCCCATAACCACCATCCCAGCAGAATTTTCCAGAAAGGCAAATACAGTATTGTGCTATTTCTGCGTGGTAGACATTGCATACTTATAATTCTGACACAGCAGGACTTTAAGCCATCCAGTCTTCTGGGCTCCTCTTCCTGTGTACCCAGATTAACGAGCAGAGTCCCACTCCTCTTCTGTGAGAGCCGAGTCCTCCTCAATATGTCCTGAGACTGTCTCTGAGAACTCAGTCTCCTGGTCCAGGATTGCCAGCATCCTGGCAGTGACTGCCCTTTCCCTGCCATGTCACCCTGCTGTACAGGGCCCCAGTTTCTCTATCCTTTCTGCCTTAGGCTGCATTTGGCTGAATGCCGAGGAACTGGAGCACAGCATCATAGGGGCAATCGCAGAAGGCCTGATGTCCTGCCCTTTAGCCAAACCACTCACCACGTCCCCTTAAGGCCTTGCCTTGCCATTACCTTCTTGGGCTTTGCTCTTCTCCAGGGGCAGCTGTCTACTCAACTAACGGCTTCCTGCAATCCCCAAATTCAGGTTACTTCCCACCAGAGCACAATACAGCTTGTTCTTCATTTTTGTTACTTCCTAGGCTATACCCAGAGCTTGCGTTTCTCACCTACAAGTCCCATCAAGGCTCATGGTATTATTTATTCCCTATAAGAGAATATATGTCCTATTATGTGAAAGTGGCCACAGTCATGGCTTTAAATAGCATTCCCCCACTGCTACAATATGTGTATTGAAGCTTACAGAATAGTTGATAGTCAAGAATTAAGTCTAAAAAAGTAAGGACCAAATAACAATTGACCCCAAACAAGAGATGCCCAAATAGTATGATCAAGCAAAGAATGGTGGTACCAAAAATAAGGGCAAGGAAGAGGAGATGGCTGATGGCAGGGATGGCCCCATGGGGCTCTCACGAGAGGGGTGAAGGTGGATTGAGTATGAGGGATGGAGGATGTGATGAGCGGGGAGAGAGTAGGAGGGTATCACAGGGAGGAGAAACCACTTGAGCAAAGGCAGGGAGGTGGCCTGGCGCATGACCCACTGGCTTGGAGGAGTGAGTAGGAGTAATCCAGGCTGGTGGGGAACAGCAGGATCTTCACCACGCCAGAAGGAGAAGCAGAAACCAGACAATGGAGACCCTGCCAATTGTCTTCTGGTAGCAATTCTGAAGTGAACAAGTTGATTGTGGTTCTCTGAGTGTAAGACACTCAACAATGTAAACTGCTACACTGCAGCTCTGTAATTAAGACTATTTTCTACAACATATGTTTGTTTATTACAGAGCGCTGTGATCACTTGAGGGTGTCGTGTCAACCTCGTCTCATGCACCAGCTGAATTCAGTGACACTAACATCCTGGATCCTGCAGATGAGAGTATTATGACTGCACTACCAGGGAGGCTGCCCAGGGCTGGACACTGCTCTGCTCTGGAGGTGCTTGGTTTGCAGTGTGGGCGGAGTCAACCTGAGAGAAAGCCACAGAAACGCCTTGAGCTGGAGCCCCAGGCTAGTGTTGCTACGCCAGTGGTTCTTTTTTTTTTTCTTTGAGATGGAGTTTCACTCTTGTTACCCAGGCTGGAGTGCAATGGCGTGATCTCGGCTCACCACGACCTCTGCCTCCCAGGTTCAAGCGATTCTCCTGCCTCAGCCTCCCGAGTAGCTGGGATTACAGGCATGTGCCACCACGCCTGGCTAATTTTGTATTTTTAGTAGAGACAAGGTTTTACCATGTTGGCCAGGCTGGTCTCAAACTCCTGACCTCAGGTGATCCTCCCGCCTCCACCTCCTAAAGCGCTGGGATTACAGGTGTGAGCTACTGTGCCCGGCCAACACCAGTAGTTCTCAAACTTCAGCCTGTGTCTGAGTCACCTGGAGGGCTATGAAAACACAGAGTGCTAGGCCCCATCCCCAGAGTTTGTGCCTTCAGTAGGTCTGTGGTGGGGCCTAAGGATTTGCGTTTGTAACAAGTCCCCAAGTAATGTGGGTGCTGCTGGTTGGGAGATCACACTTTCAGAATCACAGATTCACTCTACAGTCCCATTGTTAGCTTATAAAACTCTTCTTCTCTAGTTCTTTCTGTAAAGGTGTGTCCTGAGGAACCTCAGATCTGAGAGAAGAGTGAATGGAAGTCAAATGTGGAAACCACTTAAATGTCCATCAACTGATGAATGAATAAACAAATTGTGTTATAGCCATACAATGGAATATTATTCACCCATAAAAAGGAATGAAGTTTTAATACACCGACAACTAGATGAACATTGAAAATATTATGCTATCCATTCTGCTTCAGGTTGGAAAAAAAAAATATCCTCACCTAAAGAAGCCATCAACAAAAGGCCACATATTGTATGATTATATCATATGACCAGAATACGCAAATTCACAGAGACAGAAAGCAGATTAGTGGTTGCCAGGAACTGAGGGAAGAGGAAGAATGGGGAGTGACTAGTCATTGGGTTTTTCCCATTGTGATTAAAAAAAAGTTCTGGAACCAGTTGGTGGTGATAGTTGCACAACATTGTGAATGTACTTAGTACCACTGAATTGTACACTTTAAAATGGTCAGTTTTGGCCGGGCACGGTGACTCATGCCTGTAATCCCAGCACTTTGGGAGGCTGAGGCAGGTGAATCACCTGAGGTCAGGAGTTCAAGACCAGCCTGACCAACATGGTAAAACCCCATCTCTACTAAAAATACAAAAATTAGCTGGGCGTGGTGGCACATGCCTGCAGTCCCAGCTACTCAGGAGCTGAGGCAGGAGAATCACTTGAATCTGGAAGGCGGAGATTGCAGTGAGCTGAGATGTGCCACTGTACTCCAGCCTGGGCGACAGAGTGAGACTCTGTCTCAAAAAAAAGAAAAAAAAAAGAAAAGTTAGTTTTATGTAATGCCTATTTTATCACAATCAAACAATTTTTAGAAGAGTGAATGGAATGTTGTTTTAACTCCCATTATGGGACCAATTGAAAGGTTTATAGGATAGAGGTTGGAAATGCAAAGGGCCTAAACCAGTGGTTTTCAGCCCTGATTGAGCCATCCTATCCTTGGAGAGTTTTATATCCTATCCTTGACCAATTAAATCAAAATCTCTGCAGGTAAGGCCCAGGCATCAAAAAAATTTTCAATACATCCCCGGATGAGTCTAACATACCATCAGGATTTCAAACAGTGGCCTGAATCTTCAAGGGCCAAATGAGTTAATGACCTTGGTACAAACTGACTTGACCCATATCATGAACAATATGTCTTCATCTTCTCCCATACTTGCTTGGGAGGGGATGTAGAGCAGAATGAGGAGGCTTTCAGAATCAGATCTGCCCAGGATTTGAAAACTGGCTCCGTTACCAACTAGCTATGTGTCCTTGGGCAAACCACATAACCCTTCTGGGTATGTTTTCTCCTAAGTGAAGAACACCATTTCAGAGGGTTTTTGGAAGGCACACATGAGGCAGCCAATTTCCCAGCTTTACCAGTGTCAGACCCTGTTTAGTCATCATTCCATTCTTTCCATCTCATTCTAGGCCGGAAAGGAGAAATAGTCTTATTTGCATGAAAGTCCTAGTACTGCTGTATCTCGTACTGTAAGTTCAGTTTTCTCCCTTCACCTGAGGGTAAGTTGAAGAATAACTTCATAAGCCAGGGAGAGATACGTTTGGATCAGGAGTTAGTGATTACAGGTGAGCCTAATAATAACCCTTTTTGCACTCATGTTCAGTTTTTTATGCACCAAGCTTTATAATGATGTAGATGTACCTAAGACAAAAACAGATAAAACTCACCTACAATTTTGAATCATAAATAAAATAGTTTGGATTCTTCTGTGTTTCTGGTGAGTCCTTATTCTTCGGTAATATAAGGAATATATTTTTATTCAACTACAATTAAAGCGTAGATATAATTTTATACTCTGCATTTTCTTTTCACTCACTATCTTCAGCATTTGTCATGTTTCTATAGTTCATTATTGACATTTTAATGACTACAGAGTATTTCATATCATTCATTGAATAGCCTTACTATAATTTATTTTGATATTCCTCTATTAAGCCTTTTGACTTCTAAGTTTTCAATATTAGAAATTGTACATAATAAAAATATTTCTGCATGTAACTTTTAATTTCCTTTGACTTCTTTTCTTTTCTTTTCTTTTTTTTTTTTTTTTTTTGAGACAGAGTCTTGCCCTGTCGCCCAGGCTGGAGTGCAATGCCACGATCTTGTCTCACTGCGACCTCCGCCTCCCGGGTTCAAATGATTCTCTTGCCTCAGCCTCCCGAGTAGCTGGGATTACAGGCACCTGCCACCACGCCCAGCTAATTTTTGTATTTTTAGTAAAGATGGGTTTCACCATGTTGGTCAGGCTGGTCTCGAATTCCTGACCTCGTGATCCTCCCACCTTAGCCTCCCAAAGTACTGGGATTACAGACATGAGCCCCTGCTCCCGGCCTTGACTTATTTTCTTAAAATAAATTTCCTTTAAGTTACTGGATCAAGGGGTGTGAACATTTTAAGGTTCTTGAATGCAGTATCAAATTGCTTTGGTAAAGGATTGTACCAATTTACACTGCTACCAGCAGGATGTGGGTGTACGTTTTCAACAATTTGACAGTACCGAATTTCATCATTTAAAAAAAGTTTACAAATTGTACATAATTTAATTTAATATAAACTAATAAATTACTGTGTCCAACTTTTGAGCATGCATAAAATTTTTTCCCCATTTCTTTTTTGGTGGCATCCCTACTATTTTGTAAACTGCTTGAGGGCAATGAATAATTCAGGGAATCCCTCCTCCCAGTAATTCTTCAGTTTTGATAATAGCAGTGGGTTTGGGGTTGTTTTGTTTTCAAGATAAACTAAATTACCCTTTATTTCACTGATGTTGGCAGCCCCAGAGGACTCTGTTTGCAGGAAAAAAATGTATGAAGATTTCCATAGGTGGGAAGTCGACCTCTCCCACACAACGAGAAGAGCAGCTAAATCATTGCTCTTTTCTCCCAGTCTCTCCCTGCACTCCCGTCTCGTTTCCTGTCTGCTCCTGAAGAGCCAGCTCAGTATGAATTAAGGAAAAGCTATTTGTAGTGTGCATGGGAGCAAAAAGAACCCAAATAGGCTCTTCCTAAGCTATTGAGCTTAACTTTCACTCTTTCCAGCAGGAAAAGGTTCGTGCATGCCCAGGTGATACTACTTATACTTTGGTACCCATTGATTGGGACAGTTTGTGCCGATGAAAAGCTGCTGTGAATTCAGTAATGCTTTTTAAATATGTATTTTAATTTCAGTGTCTACATAAATTTCAAAAACAGCAATAAAAAATATGCTTGAGACCAATTTATCCGGCCACACCTATTTGGTGCATATTTGCATTCTTAGATTCCTTAAGTGTCCTCTGCACAAAGGTTAGGAAATTGTGCCCTGACAATAAACCAGTATCTTATTAGAACTGAGAGGTTAACCAGTTAAGAGGACTACAGAAGTCATTGTTAACTCATACTTTGTAGTATTTAATACAGTAACCTGCCTCTGCTAGAAGTAAGGACTCCTCAACTTTTAAAGATAGCTAATTTTAGAAGTCTGCTTCCTACCTGTTCACCTTTTTCTCATTGGTGACAGCAACAAACAATTAATGGCATTTCTTAAATGTCTTGCTGTCTGAAATAAGATCTTTTTCCAATTAAAAAGTAACAAAGGCTGCACCTCTCCTCTGTTTCCTTCTTTGGCTGTAACATCTTGACATCGCTCTCTCTGTCTCCTGTTTTATCTAAGACTGAGCTTGCGTGAAAACAAAATAAGTCATATGCTTCTATTGGGGGGGATTATTTGTGACTTTGGTTTTAAAGAAAATTTATGCTGGTGGTTTGCAGAAAGTTGACATATATCCAAGTGTTCCCTTATCAGAGGGCAGCAGGGTCCCCATGGGTTCATATCGTTGCCTGGACAAGGAGTCTTTGTACCCTGGTCATGCCTGGGTTGTCGCAGGGATAGGGTAGCTCACTTATTCACACTCTTTCTCCTTTCCTGTTTCCTTCAAAGACACCCTGGTCCTAGTTGACTTTACCTTACTGTTCAAAATTCAGCACAACATATGTCAAATTGTACATTCTTAAACTCAAGGAAACAGAAAGGTTATAACCTGGTGGTTTCCAAGCCTGGTTTTTCATCAGTCTCTTGGTAAACTTTTAGAAAATCTATATTCTTTTTGCCCCCACAGCCATTCTGATTCATTAGGACTGCGTGTGGCCATGGAACTTGCATTTGGAAAAGCTCTCCTTATGTTTCTGATGATCAATCCAGTTTCAGAACACCAAGCTAACCAGACTCCCAGGGTAAGACCTCCTTGAATATCATCTCTGGCAGGTGGTTGTACAACCTCCACTCTAAAACCTCCAGCCATGGGGCACTCACCACTTTTTATGAGTGGCCTGAGTTGAGACATTCTTCCTTGTGATGAGTGGAAAGGCATTTCCACCACAAGAATTTCTACCTGTTGATTTCAATTATGCCTGTTGAAGCAATACAAAAAAAAAAGTTATTTTCCCTCCCCATAATAACCTTTCAAATACTTCAACCTCTCAAGCAGTTATTGTTTCCTTCTCAGGATCTCTCTTCCCTTTTCCAGACCCTTAGTCCAGGTCCTTCTCTGATTATGGTTGGAGTGAGAGTGTTGATTATGTGCCAGGTGCTTTAGACATGTCTTTTAGATAAACTCTTGAGGGAAATTTATGGTGCCACTATCTTCCCAGTGTTTGGGATGAGAAGACCAAGGGCCGAAGAAATGATATGACCTGCCCCAGCTCCCACAGCTAAGTAGCTAAATAGAAATTTGAACACTCCATCTGACTCCAAATTCTACATCCTCAACTAACATGTTATGCTTCAGATTTTTTCTTTCTTTGTTTTTAAATGCAAAATAATAAATGCTAAATATGCATTAAGTCAAGGTATATAAAAGTAAAACCCTCCCTTCTAAAATTCTACTCTAGAGGCTGCCACTGCCAAATTTGCGAAGGCCCTCTGAAGCCCACCACCACAAGCTGGAGGTTATAGTCACAGCAGAGGGGAGTCTTCGCCTCCTTTGTTCTGGACAGCATCTGCAGTGACTGCTGCCTCCAACTGCACTGTGGGCTTGCAGCAGTGAGTAGGTTTCTTTTGACCTTGAAGTACCTAGACCCTGAGTTTTTTGTTTGTTTTAAATAAACTTGTTCAGATATCACTCATTTTGTATCCTTGCACATGTGTTTCTTGGTCTTAAAAGGACTTTATATCTATCTCCATTATTTTTCTTGTTAGTTGTGACCCATTATTTCAACTTATGTATATCTTTCAGTTCTTTCAGTTTGATCACCAATTAAATTATCTAGCTCAATGTCATTCTCAGATCTTAATACATGTGATGCCTCTCTTTGTCCAAATACTTGATAAGAGCTTTGTTAAAGGTAGGACCAACGAGAGTCTTTGAGCACTTGTAGGGGAATTAATTAATACTCCTGCGCTACAGTTATTCAACCAAATATGAACACACTTGATTGTACTATCATTCAGTCTTATCTATAATGGCATGAAAATTGGTCAAATGCCTTTCTGTTCACAGCATTTTCCTGATTAATCCACTATGCTTATTCAAAAAGGGAAGTATTCAATTTTATTCTTGGCAAACCTATGTGAGTTCCTACATACCATCGCCTTTTCTTCTTAGGGTTTAGAAAATATCTCTTTTATAGTCTGTGCAAGAACTTTGCTGTGGATTGATATCAAACTTACATTTTGGCTGAGCTTTGAGTGACTCAGAAAGGGGCTGGGTTCAGGCTGGGATGTGTGGAGCCTGGAGTGGTGGCAAGGCAAAGGCCAGCAGGGATAGTGAATAGAGGCCTCAGTGATGAGGTGGGTGGGTTGGTTAAGTGCACAGGTGATTGGGCTGGTTAATTAGGGTAGGGAATTGACTAGCTGTCAGTGAGGTGAACTGAAGAATCCACCCTATGAAGGTGTCAAGGGGCAGGGAAAGAACAAGAATAGAATCAGGGTAGATGTCTCTTCAGAGAGCAGCCAGCTGAGCAGAGAAAGGCTGGAGGCTGAAGCTTGATTAATATACACTATGGTAGAAACCATGAAAGCCCAAGGATCCAGGAGGTGAAGCTGATGTAAGTCAAGGGTGAGAAATGGTCTTGGGGAACTGAGGCCTCATCGGGTCTTCTGATGAGACAGCTGTATTCCCTGTCTCAGCAAATGATGCCAACTACCCAGTTGTCCAAACCAGAAACCTGGTGTCCTCCTGGAGTCCTGCTGCTCCCTCAGTCTCCCCATAGCCACTTGAATTATCAAGCCCTATCATTCCTACCTCTAATATTTATACCTCAAATAGTTCTCAATGCCCATTTCTCTATCACCCTTGCCACTGTCATCTCTCTCCCTGCCACCCCAATTTTTTTATTGTGGTAAAATATAAATAATATATAATTTACCATCTTAAGAATTTTTTGTTGTTGTTGTTTGTTTTTTTGTTTTTTAGACAGGGTCTCACTCTGTCACCCAGGCTGGAGTGCATGGTGCTATCTCGGCTCATCGCAACCTTTGCCTCCCGGATTTAAGCAATTCTCCTGCCTCAGCTTCCTGAGTAGCTGGGATTACAGGCACGTGCCACAATGCTCAGCTAATTTTTGTATTTTTAGTAGCGATGGGGTTTCACCATGGTGGCCAGGCTGGTCTTGAACTCCTGACCTCAGGTGATCTGCCCGACTCACCCTCCCAAAGAATTTTTAAGTGTACAGTTCAGTGGAATTAAATACATTTACCATGTTGTGAAACCTCACCATCATCTGTCTCTGGAACACTTTCCATCTCATAAAACTGGAACTCTGTGCCCGTTAAACAATTATTGGCCAGTTTCCTCTTCCTCAGCCTCTGGCAACCAACACTCCACTATCTCTATGATTTTGACTAATTCTAAGTACTTCATATAAGTGCATTCATACAGTACTTTTCTTTTTGTGACTGGCTTATTTCACTTAACATGTCACTTAACATATCTTGTAACGTGTTACTTAACATTTCACTTAACATGTTCATCCATGTTGTAGCATATGTCAGAATTTCCTTCCTTTAAAAGCTAAATAATATTCTATTTTATGTATATATCACATTTTGTTTATCCAATTATTCATTGATGGATGCTTGGGTTACTTCCATTTTTAAGCTATTGTGAATAATGCTGCTACAAATGTGGACATACAAGTATCTCTTTGAAAAGTGGGATTAATGGATCATATAGCAATTCTATTTTTAATTTTTTGAGGAACCATAATACTGTTTCCACAGTAGCTGCACCATGTGACATTCCCACCAGCAGTGCACAAGGGTTTCAATTCTCCATATCGTCCTAACACTTGTTATTTTCTAATTTTTTGATACTAGCCATCCTAGTGGGTGTGAAGTGGTATCTCATTGTAGTTTTGATTTACATTTCCCTAATGATAAGTGATGTTGAGCATCTTTTCATGTGATTATTGGTTATTTGCCTATATTTTAGGAGAAATGTCTATTCAAGTCCTTTGCCCATTTTTTAATTGGGTGGTTTTGTTGTTGAGTTTTAGGGCCTTATATATTCTGCATCTGAATCCCTCTTGAGATACAGGATTTGCAAATATTTTCTCACGTTCTGTGAGTTGCCATTTTACTCTTAATAGTGTCTTTCAATGCACAGAATTTTTAAATTTTCATGATGTCTAACATGTCTATTTAAAAATTTTTGTTGCCTATGTCTTTGGTGTCATATCCAAAAAAGTCATTGCCAAATCTATGTTGTAAAGCTTTGCTGCATGTTTTCTTTGAAGAGTTTTATCATTTTTAGCTCTTGTGTTTAAGTCTTTGATGCATTTTCAGTTAATTTTTGCATATGTTCTTAGTTAAGGATCCAACTTCATTATTTTGCATGTGGATATTCAGATTTTCTAGCACTACTTGTTTAAAAGACTGTCTTTTCCCCTATTGAATGGTCTTGCATTCTTGTCAAAAATAATTTGACTCTTGTCATCTCACTCTTGAATCACAAGTCCTCTAGCCTCCAGACATGGCTTCCCACTCAGTCTGTGTATTGTGGTTACAGCCCTTATTTTGAAATAAACTTGATCATATCTCTCTCGGGCTTAAAAAGTCTTCAGTGGTTTTCCTGGCACCTTCAGAATAAAATAAAGCCCTTCAGCATGGGATACCTGCCCCTTCCTAGGGATGCTCCCCTGCTTCATCTTGCATGCCTCAGACTCTGGTGGTCTGTCTACTGGTTGATCGTAATGCTCTTTTGTGCTATTGGACATGTTACTCCTGCTGCCAGAGTATCTGACTCCCACCTAACTCCCATTCACCTAACTCCCATTCACCTACTTGCTGCTCTACTCAGTATGTCTCCTCTGTCTACCACAACCTGCTCCCCATTATGAGAAACGTGCCCTTTGAATGCCCTTGTCTTACTTCTTTCATAGAACATAATTGCTCTGTGTTGGAATGATAGATTTATCTGCTTTTCTCCTCTCTAGATTGTGAGATCCATGAGAGCCCAGAAAATATTTTAGGATCCCTAGTGCTTAGCACAGAGCTTGGCATATGGAGGTGAGCAAAAAGATTTATTGAATCCAGTTGTCCATCTACTCATCCATTCAATATGAATGAGAGAACAGCCCTTTTTTTAAGAGGGATGGCCTTTTCTTAAAAGACCTGTATCTTGAAGCATTATTTTCCCCTATTCAAGGCCCGGTTTATTAGGTCCTGATACTTAATGGTGATAAAAGAGTATTATTATTGGAAGGTTGGGTATGTCAGAGGCACAATAGTAGTTCAGACAGTGAACTGAAGCTTTTTTGCCTGGAATTCACTGGCTTCTTTGATGAGGATAGGAAGTAGCCTAGGACTATTGCTGTGACATGACATCAATCTTGGTGGCTAAGAGGAAGGGGCTGTGAAGGAGGGGGTGGACTTGGGAGATGAAGAGTTCCTGTGGCTCCAGTCCACCAGAATGGATGACCTAGGCAACAAAAGTAAGACTGGGAAGTGTTTTTCATCTACTTAGAGTTTGGGATATATGGATGAATTGAGTGAAATGAGGATTTTGGTGAGTATCTCTACTAGGTTACTGACAGGGATGGGTTCTCCAGGGATTCAACTGAATCTTATAGGTAGATCTGATCTGGTGAAAGATAAGGTATAAATTGGCCTGTCAACAGGACATTCGTACTGGTAGTTATTACTACCTTGATGGCTTTAAGAGATTTTGGGGGCTGGGAAGAAGTAGAGTAAATGTAGCCAAACAGATGGATGTATTAGGGAAAATATAGCTGTAAGGAGCAGTGAGAGCTTAGTGATGGTGGCAGTAGAGCATAAAGACAAATTGTCTTTAACTTTGGCTTTGCAAAAATTGGGGCATAAACTGGGGCTATATTACTGAAGCAATCCGATTAGGAGGATTCATAAAAATGAAATGCATTTCATATGCACATCTGGGCAGCTGTAGCCACTGTAGGTTTCTTGTAGGTCTGATAGAAAATGAGCTCTGTTGGTGAACACCTTAGCCAATATGATGAATAGTAGTGAAAGGCTGTACCTTGGGAGGCTCAGGATTATACCGGTGTACCTATCACTCAGAGTTACTAGGCATATGACAGACTGAATGAAGAGTTGACCTAGGGACACTCCTTGAATATGTCCCCTTTTTTTGATCAGCATATCCTTCTAATCTCCTAGGAGTTCCAGTTTACAAAATGTAATGGTGGGAATAAACTAAGAAGTAAGGCATGATTACCCTATCTGGGTGTTAGGGGTACTTGGCCTCTGTGGTTGACACAGAGGCCAAGCCATGCTATAGTCTTTGCCTTTTCCTGCTGCTTTCTGCTGAGAGATGCAAAGGACGGCAAGGCTGAGTTGTAAATTCTTGTACATTCTTGTCCATTGATCCTGCTGCCTTGAGCAGGGCCAGGTCAAGCCAGTCCTATGGTCTAGAACATAAACCCTGTGGTTTTGGACACTCAGGGTGCTGTGTGTGTTGATGCTGAATGAGTAGGCTTGGTGCTTAGTTGAGCTTTCAGAACCCTGGAAATGCTTGAGTTTGCAGTGACTCATGCACAGTAGAATGGAATGCCTGATTCTGCATCCCTCTAGACAGGGTCAACAGGATCAAAACATGACCTTGATGGCCAAGCCAAGTTCTCTTTTTCCCAAAGGGTTTTAATCTGCCCTATTTAATATGGTAGCCAGTAGCCATATGTGACTATTTATATTAAATTTAAATTAATCAAAATTTAAAAATTAGTTACTTAGTCACACTAGCTACATTTTACATGCTCAGTAGCCACATAAAGCCAGTGGCTGCTGTATTGAACAGTGCTGATTATGGAACATTTCCATCACTGCAAAAGGTTCTCTTGGACAGCACTAATCCAGATCTCTTTGTAGGAGAAGAATTGGCACCTGGGGCCGCCTAATCTTCAAGGGGCACATTGCAGAGCATGGTGTTGACCCATCTGGATACCATGTTTGAAGTTGACATGGCCCAGAATTTGACTTCCACCAGTTAAAAATATACTTCGACAGTTTTGTATTTAACCTGTAAATCCAGAAGCATGACAGGGCCTTCTGGATGGAGCAATGTGAAATTAGCGTACACTTCAAACCCTCTTCCCTAAAAGATCATGCGCTACCGTGCTCTACATGGTAGACCTGTCTCGTAGTGTAGGCTTCAGCAGATACTCTTTGACAAATAATTGGTTCTGTGCTGCTGATAAGTCTAATAAGTGAAAGATGGTCTTTCTCTTAAAAAATTGAGATATATGATACCAGTCTCATAAACTCTAATTCACAAGCCGTGGCATTATGAGAGGCACTTAAAGCATGAATGGCATTAAGATTATCCTTTAATTTTGCAGTAGGCAAATGACCTCCCAAAGATATTCACTTCCTAATCCCCAGAATTTGGGAATACGTTACCTTACATGACAAAGGGGATTTTGCAGATATGAGGAAGTGAAGGATTTTGAGACGGGGAGACTATCCTGGATAATCCCAGTGGGACCCATGTAATCACACAAGTCCTTAAAAGTGGAGAACTTTTCCCTGCTGTGGTCACAGAAAAAAATGCAACCAATGTAAGAAGGGTCAGAGAGATTCAACATTGTTGCCTTTGAAGGTAGAGGAAGTGACCACAAGCCGAAGAATGCAGACAGGCTCTAGAAGCTGGGAAAGAGAAGGAAGCGTATTCTCTGCAGAGCTACCAAAATGAATATATCCCTGTCTACACCTTGATTTTAACCTGGTGAGACCTGTATTGGGCTTCTAACCTACAGAACTCTAAGATAATAACTATATGTTGTTGAACCTGCTAAGTTTGTGGGAGTTGTAACAATAGCATTAGGAAATTAATACACCTTTTATACAGTGGAGGATGACT